CCCGCCGCTCAGGGCCGCCCTCGCGCCCGGCCTGGCTCTTCTGGACGGTGGGGAAGGTGACAGATCAGCGTGTATCACACGTGGGTGTCTGTGGATGGGAGAATTCTAGAATTTAAATATTTTTCTTTTTTCTAAAAGACCACCTCCCTGAAAGTGTGTTCTCGAAAGCGGATGGTCTTAAAAGGGTTGTTTTAACCGTGTCCTCAGTCGTGTGGGTGAGACACGCACACCCGTCAGCCTCTGCCGTGCAGTTTCTGAGCGGTGCTGACCATGACGCGGGTGCTGAGCGGCCCCATCCTCACACGACAGCCTGAACTTTAAACGCGAGGCTAAGCCCCTCTGGATGACTGTAGGTGGTGGCGTCAAAATGGCAACAGCTGGCTCATCACTACCATTGCACTCGGGCTGTGAAGACACAGTCTCTTCAGATAACATGCATTCGAGAGCGCTGTCATAGGAGGAGGCTTTGTAGAGCCGTAAGTCATTTTGCAAACTGAGGTTCTGATTTGACGCCCTAAAAATCATCGCCAAGCAGGAGTGTACTTGCTGCTTCCATTCCACTTCTTTCACTTCTTAGGCTAACGAGAAGCGAGCAGAGCAGTATTGCGTAACCAGTGCGTCACGCCAGTGACGCTGGTGAATCAGCCACGCAATAGCGTGCGGTGCTGCGAAGGGAGAAAAGACGTAGGAGAACAGAGCCCTCACTCAACACCCCTGTGACAGGCAAGCTGAAGCCAAAGACCTCGGACCCCAGGCAGAAGTATACTCACGGAAAGTCAATGCCTCGTGCAGATCTCGTTTCTGTGCTATCAACCCAAAATGGTTTGGTCGCAGTAGCTGTGAAGATTTTCAGTTCATTCTCATTATTTGGACTGCACAGCTTGATTGATTGGTTCCTTATAATAACGGGTCATTGTCAAATGAAAAAATAGCAATGACTCAGCGTGCTCGAAAAGAAAACTAAAGTAGACCAACAAATAAAAAAACCCTAAACAACGTCCGAATCAATTTTTCTATTATTAAGCCAACATAAATGTTTTCGTTTAGCAAAACAGCACCATCCATTACATTAAGCATGTTAATTTGAATGAAATCAGTTTTGCAGTTTTGCTCCTGGACTAGGATCCAGAAACTGTGTTGTGTCAAAAGGAGAGTGTGAATCAGGTCTTTACTTCCATATGTTTACATATCAAGTCTCCTTGTTGCCCATCAAGAGTCCACGAGGCATCGCCTGGC